GCCGGGCGGCGGGCCGGGCTGGCTCCGCAGAGCGGGGACAGCTGACCGGAGAGTGCTTCTGCTGCGGTAACCCCGCTCGCACCGTTGCAGGTGCGGTTGGCAATAGCCGAAAAAGCCCTGAAGTGCGAAGAGCACGATGTAAACCTGCCGCTGAGCGAGCACAACGAACCGTGGTTCATGCGCTTAAATTCCTCTGGAGAAGTACCCGTCCTTATCCATGGGGAAAACATCATTTGTGAGGCAACGCAGATTATCGATTACCTTGAAGCAACGTTTGTAGATGGTAATCCCATAGGCATTTCGATGCAAAATCTGTCCTCGTGTACCCCATAGTGTGCGGCAGCGTCAGGGTCACAGCTCTGTATTGCCACGCGTTGCTCCGTTCACGACCAGAAAGTGTTCGTAGTCTCACAAGTAAATGGGCTCTTCTAGTAGTTGGGGGTGGGGGGTAAAAACCACTGCATAAGGTGTCTGGGGAGACCTTATTGCAGCCCTCCAGTAGTTAGAGGGGACCTATAAGTAAGGTGGGGACAGACTTTTTAGCAGGGCCTGTTGCCAGAGGATAAGGGGTAATGGTTTTAAACTAAAAGAGGCCAGATTTAGACTAGCTATAAAGAAGAATTTTTTCACGATGAGGGTGCTGAAACACCAGCACAGGTTGCCCAGAGAGGTGGTGGCTGCCCCATCCCTGGAAACCTTCAAGGTCAGGTTGGACAGGGCTCTGAGCAACCTGATCTAGTTGAAGATGTCCCTGCTCATTGTGGGGGTGTTGGACTAGATGACCTTAAAAGGTCCCTTCCAACCCAAACTATTCAGTGATTTTATAAAAAACTCGTTCCTTTAAAATGAGCTGTTTATGGCCTTCCAGCACCTTTCCAAGCAGCTCTAAGTAAAAACCCACCACTGACCTTATCCCTTCACGTAGGCTGTTGAAGGCAGTAATGGCAGCACTGCACTGTGCTAACCCTATGGTGAGACTGCTGTGAAAAATAATGTGTGGCACAACTTCTGCTGTGGTCGGGCAGCTCCTGCTTTTCCGCAAGAAAAAAAGAAAGATGCTTAATTCCAGAATAATATTGGGCGGAAAAGGGGAGTAGAATGAGTATTTTTGGAGCCAAAATGGAATGAAGAGGTAAAACAGTAGGACGAAAAAACACAGAAGTGATCACATGCAGGCTTTTGAAATTCCTTGTGTATTGCCGGAAAATAGACTGCCTCAATTTCTGAAGAAAATGCGGAGTTGTATTTTTTTAGGTGTGAAGAAGCAGCATTTTGTGTTTCAGGGGTTTAGTGCTGTGATCTCTTAGGCCATGGAGAAAACTTCATTGTTAGAGGAACACAATATGTATTTAATGCTGGCATGTTCATCAAATGAAGAGTCAGGGCCCAGGCAGACTGAGGGCAGGGTAAAACTCTGTGGTCTGCAGGAATACTTCTAACCATGCTTTGAGCAGGATTCCTGTACTGTAATTTTTATGGCATTACAGCTGTGGTAATGTTTTAGCTGTAATGGCTTGCTGCCACCTCAGTTGTGCCTTACTGTGAGAGGGCTAAAGGGTTGAGTGCCACGATCTCCCGTCCCTAGGAGTACAAAATAGACGCTGAATCTGGTTCTCTGATTTGAAGGCCTCTTAAATAGGTGTTTACATGGTTGCTGCATAGGAATTGGAATTATCCAGATGTTTTAAAATGCAGTATGTGAGTATGTTTTGCTGAACTGTGATAACACTAGCAAGTTACAGTGGGGAATAGTGAAACTTCCTTAACTGTGGCTGTGTCACCTGTGCCAGTTGGACATAACTGAGGTAACGTTGGAAATACTGCTCTTGACCAATTATTACATGGTTCTTCTTTTCTTGACTTTATTTTTAACTTTGTATTGCAGAGGAGGTGCCAAGATTAATGCCAGAAGAAGGGAGCATGTATTATCCAAGGGTACAACACTATAGAGAGCTTTTAGACTCCTTGCCTATGGATGCCTACACGCATGGCTGCATCCTGCACCCCGAGTTAACAGTGGACTCAATGATTCCAGCCTATGCTACCAGCAGAATTCGTAGTATGTACTGATATAGCTCTGATTGCCTATTAGTTAGTAGGATGCTGCATTACATTCATCTTGTGTCTTCAGTGCATCTGAAGCAGAATATATTGAGCACAGATTTCCAATTTTAGTTGCAGTCCTTGATAATTTGTGCATATACTTTTTATTAATTTTGTAGTCTGTTATGATTTGAAAACGGGAAAGAGGAAGTGTTATTTTTGAGGTATCTGTGGAATTAATTTTCCTAATGATTGAAAAAATGCTTCTTGTGCATAACAGAAAATGGCAGCTATGACAGCTGTGAGTATTTTACTTTCTGATTTTGCTGTTTATGCTTATAAAGCAATTTCTAGAAAACAGTGCTATTACTGCTCACACCAAACCACTACACTGAAGGAAACCCATTTTGTGTGATTGTAAACTTGTAATAAGTTTACCTATTAAATTGAAGTAACTGCTTTCCTCTCAAAGTGGTGCAAATGCAGATTAGTTTCAATGAAACAGAGTCTGTTTATCTAAGAGATTATAAGAGAATCATCAGGCCCGTTTTGTCTGAGGAATATACTAGTGTCAAATTGGTGCCAGGGGTAGAGAGGAAAAAAAAAAAGGTGTGAAGAGGTAAGTAGCTTTCCATTATACCAATGGAAATTGTTAAAGCACAACTTAAACCAAAATCCTGGTGCAAATACTGCAACAATATAGAATCAAGATAAAGGATGAACTGGTGGACTGGTAGAATTAATGGCAAAATGTCCTTTGACTTCCTTGGCATCAGCATTTTACCTGATGAACTTTTATATAGATACGAGATTCTCATGAAGAAGTACGTTAAGGGCAGAGGAAATAACTGTAGATTATGTTGGCCAGTCACCTTCATAACAGAGAACCTCCTGAAATGAACTCCTGTTTCAAATCCAGTAGTTTGCAGAAATACTTGGTTTAAACAACATTCAGTGGTACTCAGAAAAATCCTTGGCAAATAATCTTTCAGTTCTCATAGCTTTTTTTTTTGGCCTTTTTCTTTTTTTTCCCCCCTGGGTTTGAACACCAGAACTGGACAGCAGATTCTGTTCACTTTGGTGTCAGGTAGGGAGATAAATATTTAATTCTTTATTCTTTTTTTTTTTCTCTGTATGTATGTTCAAGGACTCCAGTGTTATTTTCAGCTACAGAACTGCCCTGGGAATCCTTGTTCAGCTGGTTGTGGGTCATGACCTCAGTCTAGCTTTTCAGAACTGCTTGCAAACTTACAACCCTCTTGCCAAGAAACGTAGCCTGTATCTTTTCTGGACTGTATCTTTTACTTCAATTTATATTTTACATTGGACTGCATTGAAACATCCACTGGTTGCTTAGGCCCAGTTTGTCAACCAGTCCAGACCACTGGGTTCAGTGCTATGTTTTTTTCTTGATTTATGTCTCTTCTACTCTTTCTACCATGGCAAACGTTAATTAATGCTTTTATGTTTCCTTCTAAGTATTACAAAAGAACTAAATAGTACTAGGACAAGGATCAAATCCCAAAAACATGGCTGGATGACGAGTCCCTGTTTACAATTATGTTCTGAGATCTCTGACTTTTTTGTCAATGTCAGTGCTTTTATCGTGATGATTTTTTGGTATGGTATTTTAGAATGTTCCATAGAGCAAAGTCAAATACAACAGAGACTTTGAAATGTAGTACAGCTGTACTATTACCAAATTCATAACATCATAAAAACTGATACTTTGTTAGTTTGAGAAGTTCTATTTCCAACAAACTGTGACATGCTCCTCCTCAAAATTTTTGCCAAGTCAGTTCTTTTATTAGCCATGCCATTATGTTGTCAGAGGTGAAGTTAGGCAGTTAGTTTTCCTTATAGTTGCTTGAGTTATCCTTTATAAAACATCATTGCAGTGTTATTTTTCTTTCTGTCTGCTGGAAACTTCTTGAGCATTACAAAGTATTTAGAAGTCAGTGTTGCTGGTCCAATGATCAATGGTTATTTAAAAATAAATTCCTTATAAAAATTGTCTGGAGAGATGCAGAATGTATAATTTCAGCAAGAGTAATTAGCATTCTTTTTTTTTACTGAAGTAACATGAATTATGCTTTTATATCAGTGTATTATCTGGTTTTTGGTTGTTTTTTTTCCCAAATGTGGATGCTGTTTATTAAACAATTGTACTTTACTCCTAGGCATTGATAGGTTTTCTGTTCTCACATGGTAATAATCAGTGCTTTTATTATGGTTTACAGTGTTGTCTTGTGTTCTTCTGACCATACGTATTCTTCCCCTCTAGCTTCTAGTTGGTATAACCTGTTGTCAGTTTACACATACACATTCATAGTGGTAGAGCTAAAATTACTACTTGTCTAAATTCAGACATTTTCTTATCTTTTTATACTTAAAGTATAGCCTGCTTTCTTGATTTGAGGCATTTTTTTTAAAAGCTCGTGGATGTTCCTAAACAATTCCTTTGCTTGTTCAAACTTGTCGCGGATGGTTTAGTTTTCAGCTTTGAAAAGCTGATCTTTTTCAGAGTGCTGGATATAATAAGCCACCAGCCAGTTATGTATTATGTTTATGCATACCAAATCCAATTAAGTAATTAATTGCATATGTAAAGCATATGTAAGATTTTAGTTGTGTGATTACATCCTTCAATTTCTTCATACACTATGTTGAAAGATGGCTTTCACAGTCATGTCAGGTTGAAAAAAAGAATGTATAAAGCAGTGAGTTCAGTATTCTCTAGTAAGAATTTTTTATCAGTTTAATTTATGAGACTTAATTGGAACTAATCTTATTTATCAAGTACAAGTGAGAGGTGATTCATGCCCTGTAATTATTCTTTCGTTCTCAGTTTATTACTAGAAACATTTATTTTTAGAGTATAACTTACTATTCACTATCTATCTACTGGTATTCTAGGTCTGTAAGTATGGCATTTTCAAGCAAAGCCCCATTTTAAGGAGAGAAAAGGCTATACACGTGTAGTAGAAATCAGTAAAATTATTGTAAATTTTTCACATCGTTCCTTCTTTAAGTCACGTAATGAATGTTTTTGTATAACATCCATATACTCCATAACCAACATTTCCAAAAGGCATCACAGATTTTTCTGTCACATTTTAGCTAACTGAAAACACCTTGGTTCCATAATCAGTGGTATTTAGGCTTTTGCTGTGGAAGTATCCCACAACCTACAGTGACCTACAGAAAATATCAGTATGGGCCTATCTGTATTTTGACAGCCTGAAAAGTGTGTTAGGAACCCAGGAACTGAGGTATAAAAACATCAGAGTCCTGAGGTATTGGCAGCAGAATTTCATGGATTTAGCACCAGTTTTGGCAGCAAAGCGGTTTTATCTGAATAAGAGGAAAATATTAACAAGAATTTCTCATTCTGCCTGGCAGATCAGTGCTTTATAGAGTTCATTGCAAACCGATGAGCAGAAGTTATGGTGGGGTCAATTTACACAGCTGTTAAGTTTTCCAAAACATGATGTTTATGAATCCCAACTTGGTGGTGATGCTTCACTGAAGTACCACTTCTCATTTCTTTATTGTGATATGTGTACATAAGCTATTGATCAGTTCCTGTGGATTGCATTATGGGTATGTTTGGATATCTAGTGTCATTCCTTTTTTTTTTTTTTTTAAATCAGGTCAAATAAGTAACACAGAATCAGAGTTGAAGAAACTTGCGGAAGAAAATCCAGACCTTCAAGTTGCCTATATAGCAAAACAGAAGCGCCTTAAAGTAAGAAAATTCTTTGTATTCCCTGCTTTTATTATGAGCTTATTAGTTTCAGATTTTTTCTGTCACGATGTTTTTCACCCATCATTACCAGTAATGTCATGAAGTGATTTAACCCTACAAGGCATGAAGCAGTCTGACCCCCATATCAGCTACACACTTCAAGTGTGTGCTGAAGTGCTGGACTGGTCCCACTGACTTCAGAGGTAAGTACACATCAGCACTGGTGTTGGGATGTTAAGACCCCGCAGAGTGAGGCAAACCTCGATACCTAGCATGTCTAATGTTTTTCTTCTGTAATCTGAATTGTAACCAGTATCCAAAAGGTATCCAGCTGACTGTGGACAAAATAATCACATTTTATGAATAAGCACTGTAGTATCTAAGTAAAAGTTTCTCTGATAAAAGTATAAACTCTGTGCAATGATTAAGACACTAACCTGTATATATGTTTAGTCTAAACTGCTGGATCATGATAATATAAAATACCTAAAGAAAATACTGGATGAACTGGAAAAAGTTTTGGATCAGGTTGAGACTGAATTGCAGCGGCGAAATGAGGAAACACCAGGTAAGGGATTATTTTTGCTAAATCTTGTTGATGCTTATGTTTGGGGAGACTGAGTAAACTTGTTGACAGCACTGTTATAGGACTGGTTTTAATGTGTCCGGTTTGATACTTTTAGCATATACTGATATAACATTACAGGAGGGATCAATGCGGTTTTAAATACTAGTTTAGTTTACTGCTGCTGTCAGTGAGTTCTCACTGTGTTATGTGAGTGCTTGATCACATTTTCAGCGCAACGAGTATAATTAGCTGCACAATTCTGCAGTATTTTATCAACAGAATAAGAAAACCTTAACTACACAATGTTATCCTTGATGTTGTAGGCCTCAGTTCACTATAATGATCATGACCTTAATGTTTAACATAGGTTTATTACATTCTTGTTTAAATACTGTGCTGATATTTGTAGTATATGCAGAAGTAGCAAGCTGGATAAGTGCTCTAATCATTAAGCAACCCCCCTCCGCCACCCTCTTGGAAAGCAGTGTTATTTACCTGCTGTCCACCCAAATGAAAGTTGAATTCTGTTTAAATGGGATTAGTCTTCTGCTTATTCAGAGTCTAGTCCAACTCTCAGTGGTGCTAATAGGAATCCTTCCTCTGACTTCACTGGGAGCTGCATAAAGCATCAGTCAATATCAGCTGCATCTGCTCAAATCAATACCTTTTTGCATTTGGCTCTATAAATAGCTGTTGAAATAATTATCAGTTACTATCAAGACAGTAGATTTGAACCAGCAATTGGAAATCTAGGTTAAATTTTCTACTGACTCAACAGCAAAGAGTCACAGAAAATGTTTTAACTCACAAAGGCCGGTAGGATTTTGTTCAGCAAACTAAGTCTGTCACCATTTCCAGCAGCCCCTTTGCTTTCTCTGCAAGGAGTCAACTGGTACAGTATTGATAAGCTTATGAAAACTGCCAGGATCACAGGATTTAGTAAAACATATGGCTATTACCTGCTTCTTGGAATTTTGGCTGAGGTATTCATATTTTTGAGGTTTGTGAACAATGCTTCTCCAGGTCCTGGTCAACCTCTGAGCTTCTGCTTCTCTTGCTGCTGCTCAAATCCCTCATTCACTTACTGCTGCTGCCACTGCAGGCATCTTTCTTTCACACAGATTAGCTTCTTTGGTCTTCCTTTCCATCATCTTTCTGACTTAATGCACTGGGTGAATCCCCAGCTATCCTTTCAGGAACATAGGATACACTCGGTCTCTGCAGAGGCCTTTCTTTCCAGACCTGCATAACCGGACTGATACTGGCAGTGTGCCAAACTGTTGCTTTCCTCTAGTGGCAAATGAGTTGAAAGCGACATTGCAGAATTTCTGTTTCCACAGAGGTGCTGCTGAACGTTCATGCCAGCGGTTTTGTGTAACTGTTGTGTGGGAATCACAGAATCACTAAGGTTGGAAAG